ATGTTTTGCATGCCTTAGCGGTTACATAGACCATTGACCACACATCCTCGGACGGAGCATTGTTCCCACAGGACCGATCACCGATGGCCAATCGTTCCTTCCTACTTTGCCAAAGGTGGCTCAAAAATGCCTTCGCGAGTCATCTATCCTACCGATATCATTTCCCGCCTTTTTAAACCACTTCCTATGGCCCAGTACAGCTAAGGCTTATCCTGGGTATCCCATGTCTCAAACATCTCCCTGTACTTTTCTTCTGCTTTTCCCAGCTCAGTCATGTACACTTCCCTCTCCTTGTACAGCCGGCATTCCATGGCGGTCTTCGCACTCGGAACCGCAATCACATTTGAACTTGGCGTCTTCATCGTCTACCTTCCAATATCTCCGGCTACGTTCTCGGAGGCCAATGTCCCCGGTCCTGAAATTGACCTTCAGCTTTGTCCCTGCATCCATTGGTCCATAGAGGTACTCCTTGAACCCTATTCCTTCTTTCAACATTCGATACAATGCTATGCCCTCCTTATCCTTGGTTTCTTAGATTATGTTCTCTCTCGGCGAAAGCAACAGATAACTTGTCCTTAAACCCTCTTAGACCCTCCGTATCCAGCGTATCGTTTTCGTCAATTTCGAGCCCTTTCCATACGTCACCTTCAACCTTGACCCACTCCGTGGGTTGTCTACCCCTCTTTTTATTTGCCCACTCCTCTCCCAGGCTATTCTCGGCAGCCTCTTCTCCCCCCTACCGCACATGCGATACTGCCATGTCAGCTTCCTTGTGTCTCGTCCCGATCGTAGGGATTGAATCCCCAGTTCTGCCCTGACGGCTGCGGGGGGGGGGGTGTACTCATAGTCGTGCATGCCGTAATCGTTAGACCATTGACCTCGCATCCCTACAAAGGTGGGCTGCGGGGGGGGGGTAGCAACGCATCAAGCCCTGCATTTCACGAGCCCCTTTGTCTTTCCCCATCCCGAGTGCCGCGACCATTCTACTGCCGGAGTATCTGTCTTGTCTTAGATTCCGTACCTTCTCCCGCCATGAAAGCACGACTCCGTTGTAGATTCCCAGCTGAAGCTTGACATTGACCTTGAAGAACTCGAGCCTCGACAGGGTGTCACGTCGCCTGCCACACGTAGTTGTACGAAACGAACGCAGTACATTCCCATAGCACAATATAGTTTGACGCATGTTTGTCATCGACCGTTTCTTGTGCCATACACCATGGTGCTGTTCACTTTCGTCCACTGACCGTATGTGGGAGGATGTTGGCGGGAATTGTCGGATCAAACATCAACTCGACTGGTCGTCCTGTCCAACGATCAATACAATTTGCTGGCTTGTCGAAAACCTTGGTTGCGGTGTGCTGAGCTCCGCGCATCGCGGTCTGTTGTCGTGCATCGAGTGCATGCCATATAAACTCACTGTGCGAAGTAATCAGTCATGAGCGGGAGCAAAGAGGTAGCCTTGTTGTCGAAGAAGGATATGGCGAATTGCTTCGCTGGGTCATCTGCAGCCAACTTCGACGCCTCAAGAACCTCCCTGGCAATCTCGTCGTGCCTGCGCATACCATGGTGGGTGGGAAGACGGCAGCGAGTGTAAAGTGCAGTCACCCCTCCATTCGTCTCGATGCTTGAGCAATGTGTGCAACGATGGGCTTGTTGGTGTGAGTGCAGTCGACGTACGTTATACATGAAGATTTCTTCGATCCCATGAACGCCAGGCACCTTTCGCCCAAAAGCATGCGCACTCAAACAACATTCTGCACGTAACCATTTCGAGCGTTTGTCTGCATGATCCAGCTTGTTACTCATTCTTTGAGCTGCTCGTACTTGGTCTGAAAAGGCTGCCCAAGTTACCTGTTCCTGTAGGACGGCGCGTCGAGCTTGCGCGAACCCCATGCCTCCTCATTCTCGGCTGTGTCGAATCCAAAGAACCGAGCGGTGATGCCAATGTGAGGGGTCACGTGTTCTTGAGCAGTGATGTAGCCGAGGCCGTCCGACTCCAGCAACGGCTGCCACCTCTTTGTGCGTTTAAACTGCACCAACGGTAGGGGCATACATATCGGTTGTGTAGAACTCAAACAACGGCGATAGAATGCAAGGGGGCAAGGGGGCAGGTCCGTCACATTAAAGACCCACCCTCCATCTGACCGTCGCGGATTGCAGCACTTGTCTGTACGTCTCCCTCCGGAGGACTTCTACATTTCGTTTGGTAGCCCGATGGGCTTTCTGGGTTTCCCAACCCGTACTCGCGGGTTCGAACCTCCTGCTGGTCAAATTTGGTTTTTCGTTTTCCTTTTATTTTGCTTCGGCTGGGTGTCCTGATAGACCCACCTAGTCTATATTCTGCAACTGGTACAGCAAAATGGAGCAGCGGGAATTTATCGCAAGCACAGACAGGAAATGTGCACGTAATCTCCACCTGGAGGCAAGAACTTTCCCTTCGAGAAAAAACGATTTCCTTCCAGTCTCTTCCCATATCTTTGAAATTAGTCTTATCGTTTTCGCGCGTTTGACTTTTCGATGTCCAGTTATGGTGTGTGATAGTTGCTAGAGTCGTCGTCACGGTTTTCATATGTTTTCTTTGGGCTTGAATCACCCCCTGGATCTGTGCTAGCTCCCTTGAGCTTACTCCGAAAGCAGAACCTTGTTAACCGGAGTATATGCGTTATTTCTGGAGCATCATTACAACCACCAAAAGCATATCTCAATGGACATCTCTCCGTCCGAACAACGAATGAAATACCGTGACGGCACCGGCCTTTCCAAGCCGCTGGCGGTGAGAATCAGCAAGCAAACACTGGAATGTTGTTAATGAACTTGGGCAGTGAAAATCCTGCCAAGAGCTCACGCCCAGAATACATCCATTCTTCCTTGCAGGACCATGCATAGCTCTTTGTACAATTCGACCTATATACTATACCTTGTAGGGCGTGTTCTTGGGTGTGTATCCGTTCCACCTGAATAGTGCATCCGCCGTGAAACGGTACAAAGAGCACGAGGCGAGCCGTGAGGAAGGCCACAGTCAAGTCGATGGGCTGGACAATATGGGACAAGGCTTGAGTACACGGGGGGCGGAGGTGTACATGAAAGGTTCGAGCTAAGTAACTCACTCGTTGCCTGCAGAGTCTGTATAGTAGAAGTCGCCCGTAAACGGGATTCGGTTGAACTCCTTTCCACCGAGGCCCCCGTCCGCGTTCCACCCATCGTTTTCCATGAGGAAGGACATGACCTCGTCGACGTAGGCCTTGGCCAGTCCCCACGGCGTGTCCGTGCTGGCGTCAGCAACATCTAGCATGGAGAGGGGGGCTCCGTACGCTTCCATCAGGGCGGAGACAGTATCGGTGCACCACGGCATGTGCTCGGAGCCGACGTACGCGGCCATGTATAATCCGGCCACGCCCAGGTGCATGTTGAAAAGCACCGCGGCGTCCTCATCTCCGTCGGCTGGCTGGCAGCGGCGGCGGGCGTCGGACGTCTCCTTGTCGCCGAATATGTCAAGTGCCACCCCGTTGGACTCGAACATGCTCCCTGAGTGATTTGCGTGGATGACAAATGGATTACAGGGAGGTAGGCAGGGATATGAGGCACAGACATTGAGACCGTCATTGATACCGCAATAACCGACAAGTTCGTATTTGTGAGTCGCGCGCTGAACTGCTGCAACGCGAGTAAAAAAAGTCATTCCACGAAGGCCTCGAACCCGGTGGATAAGACGACGGAGCTATGTTTTCGTGCGCCATATCGTCCACTTACCCAGCGAGAACTGGGCCGCGTCGAGGGCAGTGAAGAGCCGCATCCCAATGGGTGTTTCCAGCTCGCTCGAGCATTCTTTGATCTACCGAGAACGGAAAGGAACAGGCGTGGAGGAGCGGGACAGTCGTCATGGCGTGCTCTATTCGCGGGGATGGACCCGGCTTGAGGTACAGGCCGTCGGTAACGAAAGGGGCGGCTTCAAAGGCGTGAAAACCCAAACATTTTGCACGGCGACGGGCGCCAGAAACCGACGAGTGCCACCTTTCAAGTGCAGGCAATGGCCGTACGGTACCGCCCAAGGAATGACCCACTCAGCTTTACTTACAGCTGGAACAATGCCGGGTGCGGATGCGTTTAGCAGGACCGATAAGTCGAGGAGGCCTTCGCCGCCGCCGGTGACGATGCCTTGGCTCTCGACGCAGCTAGCGGACCCTGTCCTCGCGAAGACAGCTAGTAGGACCAGGATCGTGGCCGTTGCTGCCCTCATGTTCGTGGCCAGCGTAGTACGGTCTAGGACTGTCAGTTGGGCACCCGCGCGGAACGAAACGCAAGGAGGAGGGTGGAGATAAGGGCGGAGGCCAGTGAAAGGTTGTCGACCGCGGTATGTGGACAATCGTTGAGGGCCGAGGGGCCGTCTTTAGAGCGCAATGCACCACTTCAGCAGAGAAACACATGCGATGAAGCAATGTTAATGTTCATGCCAGAGGTTCAGATACGGGTACCCTCACTACTAATGCTGCTGCTGCTGCTGCTGTTGATTGGACGTGACATCGACGACACTCGTGCTGCTTACGGACAACACATATGCAGCCCCGCCTGCCGGCGATCGACACCGCAATTTACCGATAAATGGAAAAAAAGTCGAAGTGTCGGAAGATTTCATTTTCACAGATTCACTTTTGTCCATCAACACCCCAATTTGTTTTCATTTCATTAAATTTATACGCAAACATACACGGTCTTGTGTGCTTGCTAGGAACAGGGGGGAGGGGGCCTTGCCGCCGTGTGTAGTTGAGTGATGGAGTGAGATCGAGTAAGCGCGTGGGCGAGACCGAGAAAGTGAAAAAAACAGATGACACGTGCGCGAGGTTGCAGCCTCGACAGGGGTGCACGTCCACGCCGCCCTTCTGGCGCACACACAGCGTAATGACGGTCACTTATTAGCACCAAAGCCCTTTAGGTAGCAGGGCACAGCAGAATTTGCTGAAAATCTCAGAGCCCCCGGTGAAGACAACTAGAAATTTTGGGTTCCTTGTGACGATTTCTCACTACCGGAGGTGGCCCGATATAGTGGCACGTTGGGGCAAGAGGAAATATGCCACAATAAAGGGCGGTGTCATTATTCGATGATATTGCCACTATTCGATAATATTGCCACAATTCATCTAATAGCCCGTGAATGGCGCACTATAGACACTTTGTCGGAGAATAAACTTTGATGTGCACGTTACCGACAGCTGTACACTTGCCTACACTCACATGCGTACCGTAATAGTGTGTATTTTGGCACCCGGGTGCGATCGTTCTCTTAGCCATTCTTGGCTTCTTATCGCACCGGGTGACTTATCAACGACACGTGCTATAATGCAGCGAACTCATTTCATGCAAGACTTTCACCGCACCCCCGGTGCGATGACACCGATGGGTGCGATACAGAAGAATTCACAGTGGCTTCTTTTGAATCGTTTCTACAATGCACTTCGACGGAACGATATATGCAAACATGAAAATGGAATGGCGCCCCAATTGATAACTACCGGCCCCACAGCCGTTCGTTACATGCAGTTCACGATGTGGCCCAGGTGATACCCGTACCTTGCGGAAGCACGCAAATTACGCCTTAGTCAGACTGAATATTGTTGATATCGCACCGGTTGCGTTGACACCGATACCCGTCCGGAAGTGCAACTATTTTTTTGCGCACCCCGGTGCCGTGTTTGCCATCGGGGTTCGGTTTTCGTCGCTTGGCAACGACGTTGTAAAACAAGCCGCCCCCCCCCGTGTTTGCCATCGGTACACCCCCCCCGGTGTTTTGTGATGTGAGAGCCTGGTCCGGTGAGAACCCGGCGTGCTCCGTCCCGGCTTTGTAGGGATGCGAGGTCAATGGTTTAATGATTACGGCATGCACGACTATGAGTACCCCCCCCCCCCCCCGAAAATGGGTCCTTGACAAACAGCCAACTTAGAAGAAAGACCAAGCTCAAGAGCACACGTCAGCAAAGCCCCGCACTAAATTCCGACGCTTCCGACGGCGGAACTGTCTCGTTTCTCGTTTCGGAGAGAGAAGGCCAAGCGGGTGTATGAATGCCTGCAGCAGAGATATCCCCGAAAAATAATGTGTACCCACGGGGACGCGAATAAGCCATGCACCCACACCGTTCCTACCGACGAAAATCGTGTGTGGGGAACGAGCGTCACGAACATGTAGGCGTTTTCTTGTTTCTTCCACCTTGTCGCTCGACTACAGGCAGGCGCAGTTTTCTGTCCCTCCAAGCAGCAACTTACATGAAACCGGCGAATCCCTAACGCTAACCGTAACCCTAACCCCAAACCGACCCGATGGGGGCTAGGTTGACGTTGGGTGGGTCAGTTCTAGGTTGTTGTGCCTGCATTAGGGCTAGGTTACGGCTGGGTGGCTCAGTTCTAGGTTGGTGTACCGGCATTGGGGCTAGGTTGGCGCTGGGTGGCTCAGTTCTAGGTTGTTGTGCCGGCACTGGTGCTAGGTTGGTAAAAAAAGGTGTGGATGCATGGCTTATGTGCGTCCCCATGGGTGCATCGAATATGTTTCGATATATCCACCTTCAAACGAGGATTCCGCCGCCGGCGGTGGGTCCGCCTTTCCGCCCGCCGTCGGAAGCGTCGGAATTCGAGTGCTGGGTGTTGCTGACGTGTGCTCGTGAGCGTGGTCTTTCTTCTAGTTAGTGGGCTGTTGGTCAAAGACCCCGGCCATTTTCGGGTCGGGGGAGTCAAATCGGGTCGAGGGGGTGAGTAGCCAAGATCACGTGCACCCGGCGGAAATAGGGTCAGGGCCGGGTAGGGGCGGGCGTCAGCCAATCAGATGGCTCCAGGAGGGCGCTGCCAGAACTGCGAAAAATAGTGGTGCCCGATCATGGACGGGTTCGGATGGGGTGTACCCGATATTGGCCATTGCTCTTTGAAGCAAGTCAACATAGTCTGACAGAATGACTACCCATTCGAGATATAACCTCCGTCGAAAGGGATGCGTTTGTTCGTGGGTCTGCGAACATTGGTGTTGGATACATGTGCTGTATGATTTGGTGTCGTTTGGTAGGGGGTACGGCGATGAGTCACGGGGCCCCTCCTTGCTGTTGGAGCTGTTCTGTGTGAGCACCCCCTCTTTCGTCCGTGTGAAGGACGGTCGTCTACCTCTCGTGCAGTTACTACATCACCGAAACAGTCTCACTCGATAAATAAGTGGCATAGGCCGCAAACACTCTAGAGTTTTTGCCCCTCGAGGGAAGGCACATCGGGATGAACTCTACCGGAGATGAGGTGCCCCCTGCCGCGAGCGGAGAACAGACCCGCCCGCCGGTGGAGGAGGGCCGCGATGCAGAGCTTGCACGTTTGCAACTGCAGATTTCGCAGTTGGCGGCCCTGGTGGAGGAGTCGATGAAGAAGGAGCCTGGCAGCGTCGTGGCGGATGCAGCCAGTTGTGGCGGCTGGGTTGCCGCCACCGGAGGCCAAGATCAGCCCCTGCAGCCGCACGGCGGAGGCGGGGGATTTCTCCAGCAACAAGCGAGAGATGGTGGGCAAGGACCACGGCAGCTGCTGGAAGGCGGCTGGGCCAGCAGATCGGGAGCGAATCCTGCGAGACCAGCCGGAGTGGGCCCGGGCATAGGACCGGAATACGGGGAAGCGAGGGGGTTTAACCCCCCAGGTGAGATACTCGTGATTCGAGGAAATGGAGAATACCTCGACGGCTACAGCAGTAGCCACCAGAAAAGAGTGACGGTCAATGCCCCGCTTCTAGACGGAAAAAGCCGTAGCCACGGATTTGATTCGTGGCGAAAATCGTTTATCCAAGCTGCGAAGACCATCGACTTGGACGGGCAGTTTATAGGAGATGCAGAGAGCAATATCCCTGTGGGCGACCCAAACTTGCCGACTTCCGAACTGCTCCGTATGGGGCACACGAGAGCAGAAGTCCAACGAGGGCGTCAGGCGTTCCATTTTATCACTACTGCTGTGGTAAAAGAAGCTGACAAAGCAATTATCAGTAACTGTACGTCAGCGAAAGAGGTCCTCGCGGAATTGGAAAAGGTCTACGGGTCAAAACCGGCCTTGATGCGGAAGATGTTCAACTTTGCAATCCCCACACACAGCAACAGCAACCCCATCGAGCACCTCTACTCACTCGAGCTGCTGTATGCCCGCCTGCGCGAAAAGGGGCTCAATGCTGAACAACCCTTCGTTCTTGCCCACTTCGTTGGTTCCCTCCGACCCGAGTACCAACAAGCGAAGTTCCTGTAAGGACAGCAACGGCGTTGGATAGGGCCGATATCGTCAGAATCGTGAGCACGGTGCACGCGAGCCTCCCGGAGGGGAGGAAGGCCTCGAAGGGTCAGCTTAGGGCGGAGCATGCTCTCCTCGCGAGCGATGGTAGCGGCGGGGGAGGAGCGCCGGGCCGCGGCAACAGCGGCCGCCGCAAGGGTGGCGGCGGCGGCGGCGGCAACCAGAAGGGGAGAGGGGGTGGCGCGAAGGCTGGTGGCGGTGGCGGAGGCGGCGACGACGATGCGGGTAGCATGCGCGGTCGCTGCTTCCGGTGCGGCAAGAAGGGCCCCCAGGTGGCGAACTGCACCGAGAGCAAGCCCGTGCGATGTGAGACATGCAAGGGCTACGGGCACGACAAGAGCAAGTGCCCGACCGAGGAGGCGGTGCTCGTCGTGGAAGTGCCGGCGGGGGGGGCGTCTGCGGACGCCACAGCACTGGAAGTGGCATAGAGGCGCTGGTGGTCGGTGACATCTCAGGCGAGTGTCAAAGAGTCGTTGGTCGAGGGGGTGTAGAGCAGGCTAGGCGGGGGAG